ATTTCAATTAATCTGCTAAAAAAATTTGAATTAAATTTTTAACATGAATGTTTTAAATTGAATTATTATTATAGTTTGTATTATTAGTTTAAATTTTAAAAAGTGTTTTAATATAAGTCAGCTGCACCTGACTCACACGCCTTGTATGTATGATGCGATGCTTGTGCTTGCATGCAATTGTATATGCATGTACGTAGATATGTATGTACGTCTCTATATGTTTCTCTCTGTCTGTTGGTCTATATGTTTGTATTTTTAATTTAAATTATATATCTGCATATACATATATATGCAGATAAATTAATTTTAATAATATAAAGTTCTAATAGTTTATAAGCATTATTTAAATGTTCCCGCACATCGCTAAAACGTTGTCGACTGTTTTTATGTTCGTTTCTTTATCGCCTTTTTTACTGTCTAATGATGAAATATAAATTTCAAAGATGCATCCCTCATATATATACATCACTATTCTAGGTTACGTCTATGTTAAGTTTAAGAATCTATTGTATTTGTATGTGGATGTATGAAAGCGCAGGTGTGTTTATTTAATGTTTACAAGTGTCTAAAACATTCTTTTAATTTTGTAATCAATTCTATTGATATATGGTGTTTTATATACATGTATATATAAAACATATATAACTTGTATATAAATATATAACTTAATAAATTTTGATGATCATTTTTGTTCTAAGTAATTTCTGCTCATTTTTGGTTAAATTTAACTTGTTTTCATTGGCTAGCTATACGATTTTATTTTCATTTATATTATTTTCATGTAGGTATATGTTTTTATTTAGTTTGAGCTGGGTGGCCATATATATATATATATATATATATATATATATATATATATATATATATATATATATATATATATATATTAGGGTGGTGTGGTTCAAAAAAATTTTTTTTTATATTTAAGTGCACACCCCCTATATTTTTTCCTTAGCTGAAAGTTAGCATGTGTGCAAAATTTCATTCAATTCTGACAATATTTAGAGGTTGCTCAATTGTAACGGGTTCGATATTAACTAAACGCAACGACAGATATATTATTAATCCTCCTTTATTAAAACCTAACTAAATAATTAATCGAATAAACCAAATTAACGAAAATGCAACGATACAATAACCAACTTTACTAATGTCGACTCCGGCACAAGAGCCGCAGAAAAGAAAGAGAGTTAACTTATTTGCGTAGGCTATTTATAGGCATGCACGGTGCTCTCTCCTAGGTAAGCGCTTGTACTTTGGTCTAGTAATCGACCCACGTGACCATACGGCGCTCTCTCCTAGGTAAGCACACGTGCTTTGTGCTAGTACTTATTCCACGTGATCATGTAATGGAACAATTTCCATTACATACCTCCAACGCCTAGGAGGATGAATGTAACATTCATCACACATACAAAAATAAAAACTAAACAAAACCAAAATCAATGTCCAAAAATGCGATAAATTTTTCTTGACTTTTATATCCTGGAGGAAAATTTGGCAACCTTACGTGCACCTGGACGATAATAGAATTGTGTATTATACTCTTGATTTTGGATAAGCAAATCCATGATCGGAATTTTAGAATAGCCCAAACTGAAGTAATCTTTGTGCCTCTTTAACTCGGGCATTGTATAGTCTGGCATTGGCACAGCTTCGCATCTGATGTTGCTGGTGATGTTGGCCACCACTTCTATTCCTTGATGGATCTGATCTTTCTGAGTCCTGTCTGACTCTGGTCATATAATTCATTGGGGGCCTGTTCGAGTAAAAATGAGGTTGCATTTGACTGTTGAGATGGAAGCTTGGCCCCGAACCGAGAAGGGGCTCAACTTTGAAATCCTCCAGTCTCTGATACTTGCTGAGCCATCCCCTCAACCTGCCATCGACCAGCACATGTTTCCTTGAATATTTGAGGAAAGCCCAGAACTTTTCCAGGCCATATAACTGGCCATTTTGATAATCTTTGATGGTTTCCTCTTGGAAGTGCTCAAGCAAGTCAGGTCGATATCTTTTCTCCAAACCATAACTATAGAACCGAAACAGACATTCCAAGCCATACCTGAACCCTTTATTGGCATCTTCAATGGCAAGTTGCCTGAACTCCTCGTACATTTTTTGGTGAAAGTGGTGACGAAGAAAAAATGACCAAAACCTGAAAAGAGTGTTCATTTCTGTAGACTGCCCGATCCCAACCTTCCGACGATCTTTGAGGCATTTGGCTCGGTAAGAATTGTACTTGTGCCAGGTGAAGTTGTTGTCCTTCAGTAGCTCATGGGATGGGTGTTCCAACGTTACACACGCCACTGACAAGCTTTTTGAAACTGTGTGACTTCTTTCATTGGTTGTCGACGATGCTAAGGACGCGTATGTTGACGGAAATTCTACTGGAACATGTCTTGATGTCGACGGCTTCGCAGAAGTTTTGAGGCTCTCCGAAAAATTCTCGGCATTGGACGATCTGGGTTGTAGAGTCTCACCCGAAGATTTATGATCATATTTTGAGGAGCTGATGTTGTCAATACTTTTATAATTTGTTATTTCATCATTAGTTTGTTCCTGATGTTGTTGCGGTTGCTTTTTTGACTGCCTCTGCTGTTGACGTTTTTGTTGTGGTCTTTGTGTTTCTTTGTTCGTTTCACAGCGCATGACGTTTCTAGTGGCCGTAGGTGTATTTCTATTTTTCCATGTACAGTGCTTTGCAATATGACCAATCTTCCCGCAAGAAAAACAGGTTTGTTTGGGTGAAGCTGATTTGTTGTTGCTACTTCTATACATCTGGTGCTCATTTTCTCGAAATGATTGTATCTGATTGATACTCTCCGGTATACATGTATTGTCGCTCGAAACTTTCATGTTCATGGCAGTTTCATATTTGTCGATCGTTTGTGCCAACACGTCAGGACTCATCCAGGAAGCTGCTAGCTCTTGTGACAAAATAAATTCCAGAGTACGTCTTGATAGCAACTCTTTCATTCTATCTGCACATATCAATTTCATTGCATCTTCTAATCCCGTAATGTTACGGTTTTGAAAATAGTGGTTCAGCGTGCCGTATAATTTCGCCCCGAAACTCGTGTACGATTCGCTTTTCTGTCTTCTCAGGGCGAAGAATTCATCTCTCAATTTTGTCGGGTTTAACCTGAACTCCTGCAGAATGAGTCTTTTAATTTCGCTATAATCCTTCAGACCGTCGGCGGAAATAGTATGCAACCACGTTTTGGCCTTTTCGTTCAAACTCATTATCAACAAATTGGCTTTAATTTCTCCGTCTACGTGATAGTTTCGAAAAATTTTCTCTACGTGTTCAAAGAATGCAGGAATATCTCTTGGCTCTAACGGACAAGTTCCTATCAGATGTTTTAACGACTCCGCGAAAAATCGAGTCTGTTGCATTAGTTTTATCGTGTTATTATCCTCACTAGCATCATTGGCCACTCTTCGATTATTCATACCTTCTACCTCTAGTCGTCGAATTTCTAATTCTTGACTCTTAAGCCTGAATTCGGCTTCATCTTTTTCACGCTGTCTGGCCATCTCTGCTTCATCTCTTTCACGCTGTCTGGCCATCTCTGCTTCATCTCTTTCACGCTGTCTGGCCATCTCTGCTTCATCTCTTTCACGCTGTCTGGCCATCTCTGCTTCTTTGAGCTTATATTCCCTCTCATCTTTTTCTCTTTGTCTACCAATCTCCGCTTCTCGAAGCCTATACTCCATTTCTAACTGTTTCCTTTCGTATAAGGTCAACCCACCTTCAGCATCTTTCGACACAGCGCCCTCCGCCGCAACACTGCATGGAGAATCAGCGCTGTCCGCCAAAATTGTTGCCCACGTTTCTAACAGCTGTGATCGGCTCATCAATCGTACACTGGCTTCGTTGATTGATCTCTTCAGTAGCTTCCTTGTTATTTGTTCGTTCGACAGACGTTGTAATTTTTGTTGTTTCATCTTCGTCAATCGATCCATTATAATTCTGAATTCTCAACTTACAACAAACGTACAACAAATGTAACAACTTATAACTAAGTATTTAATTAATCTTTTTTTTTTTAAATGTCAAAACGTCCTATTAGTTATTTAATTAATCACCAATTAAATAACAACCCCACTTCTGGTACCAATGTAACGGGTTCGATATTAACTAAACGCAACGACAGATATATTATTAATCCTCCTTTATTAAAACCTAACTAAATAATTAATCGAATAAACCAAATTAACGAAAATGCAACGATACAATAACCAACTTTACTAATGTCGACTCCGGCACAAGAGCCGCAGAAAAGAAAGAGAGTTAACTTATTTGCGTAGGCTATTTATAGGCATGCACGGTGCTCTCTCCTAGGTAAGCGCTTGTACTTTGGTCTAGTAATCGACCCACGTGACCATACGGCGCTCTCTCCTAGGTAAGCACACGTGCTTTGTGCTAGTACTTATTCCACGTGATCATGTAATGGAACAATTTCCATTACACTCAATGACATTCAGTTTTTCACCATATTTAGCATATAAGCGAATATTGGTCAGTGCTACAATTTTGTGTTTAATGTTTATTTTGCAGTAAAATGAACAACATTCTTGTGAAAATCATGTAAGATTTAACAGTTTTACAAATTTATACTCAAAATAACAAAATATTCAACACTAAACAAACAGTTCTCACAAGGTAAAGGCAACTTGATTATGCCAAACGAAAGTTCAGTACTGTTAATCTTTGATTGAGAAACTGAAATTAACTTGAGGCAATTAATGTACTCAGTTTATGTTTTTCTGTTAATCACTCATAGTATGTCAGACTCAAAACATAGCAGCAGCTGCTTGAGCACTGGCTAATGTGCGCTTAGAGGAGTCCGGAATACGTGTTCGATTGTCCTCCACCACCTGTATCAGTTTTTGCAGTTCTGTTTCATTTTTGGTTATAGACTGGTTAAAATTTGTCATGAGTGCCACAGTGCGTTCTGCAGTGTCATTAACGACCTTAAGTGACTTCACAACATTTGCTACTTTTTGAATAAAGGAAGATCATTCCATGAGTCTGGTTCAGTTTCACGCAAGATAGCAACATCCATTCCAAGTGATAACAATGCAGCACGAGATGTACCTGATACCAGATCATGCAGTGGTTTGCTTTTCACCTGTTCCAGTTCAGTTGCAGGATATTTGACACCTCGCACACTCCAGTCAGAATCTACTGCAGTCATTGCTTCCACAATCAACTGCTTCTCAGCATTTGCAACCTTATTTGAGAACAATGACAGCCAAACCATTTCTGTACCGAGATACCACAGATGATTCTTCAACTTTTTTGTGGCAGCACTTGCTACATTCTTGTTGATTTCAGAGTATTGTTCAATTCTGCTCAGAAGTTGCAGGTCATTGACTTGTGCATCACTGGGTATTGGGCACAACATCCATGCTGGCACATATATATGGGTTGCAAATAGGCAGAATTCAGTTAAACTTTTTGTTTCAGTTGCTGTTAGCTTGAATTCATTGCGGAACAAATACATTTTGAGACAGTAGATCACTTTGGCCATCCATCTGGCCATGTGATATGCTCCAGGAACACGGAAATGGTACTTGCCATCAGTCTGCATTGGATAACCCAGCACTAAGAGACAGAGTTTAACCAACTCCTTGTAATCCTCTCGTGGGATGTATGAGCTGTCAGCTGAAAGAAAACATGTCAAAGATGGTACTATGTCAGACCGCATCATCTGTAGCAATGAGTGGTTCATCCTGTCATCATCAAGTGGCTTGTGGTTTGACTGACTTATATTTGGCCAGTAGGCTCGAAATCTTTCAAACATTCCAATGTTGGGGCCACGGCTTGGACCAAACAGAACTGTGAAAACTTCACCGATTATCAATTCATGTACATGGTGACGACAAGCAAAGTGCAAGAGATTTCTATGGAGCAGTTTCTCCAGCAAAACACATGCTCCACTTGACGTACCAGTATTGGCAGCAGTAGTATCAAAGCACATGCCTATAATGTCTTCACTAACGTCCCATAATTTGAGCAACTGAAAAGTTGCATTGGCCTGTGCTTTTCACGTGCTTGATGCAATTTTAACAATTCCTAAGATTTTCTCCACATTACAGCCAGTCACAACAACAGCCAGTCTATCAGTTCTGGAGTGTGGATCATCATTCATGATCTTCCCATCTCAGTGAACCAGAAGGGGTTTTCTGTCACGATCCTGAAATTGTTGACGAATACTGCTGTCAATGGTTGATCGATGTTGCTGTCGTTCACGATGAACTGTGGAACGTGACAGAGATGTATCCCTGATGTCTTGCCCACTAGCTTGTGCAATGGCTGCTGCTAATACTGTGAACTTTCTATCTGACAGGTTTATTCTATCCAGTGCTGAAGCAACTTCTGGCGACGACAACATATCCTGCACAGTTCGTGTTTTTTTGCTGGCACTGCTTGACAGACTGTCTTCTACTTCACTGATCTGCTTTTTGTAGTACACTGGAATTTCAATTTCATAGTTGTCCTCTGTGTCCTGCTGTTCACTATCACTGTCATCAGAACTAGATAAATGTAGTGAGGTACTTTCTGTCATCCGCTCCTGCTCTCGCTCTTTTCTCTCTTCTTCTTTGCATTTACGTTGTTCTGTGCGCTCTTCTTTCTTGGTCAGGTCTTTATCAATGCCACTCATTTGCATTCGTCGACTGCCCCTCTGGTCTTCAAGAAATTCTATATCTTCCTGAATTCGGATGAGCTGCATGGCGTGTTGGTGAGCAATATCAAACAGCATGTGCTCCTTTTCTTCAAATTCCTTCTCTCGTGCTCGTTGTGCTTCACTTTGTCTGTTTTTATTCTTTTTTATTAGCTTGTAGTCATCAACTACCGACTTTACTTTTTCAGTTTGAATTAGAAGCCATTTTATACGTAGTTAAATATGTACAGTACCGGTATTTCAAAATCACCTCAAATTACTAGTAAATCGAAACAGTTAAATTATGCAGATATTTATCCTATTTTACTTTTTGCTGACAACAAATATGGTGACCATAGAATATTTAATAATAATAATGCATTTTAAAATATCTAATATCTATGTTTTGAATTAAGTAAGTAACCAACTTTTGATACTTTTCCAGTTATATTTGTATTTGATTTCGAAATAATGAATTATCACATTTTTATATAATTTTGAGATGCATGAGCAACCTCTAAATTTAATTTGATTTGTCTTATTTTTGGTTTGTAAGTTTTTAGGACCCAATGGAAACTTTTCAGAGGGTGTGCACTCAAATCAGACAAAAAATTTTTTTCCCCATTCAAATGTGAACCACCCTAATATATATATATACATATATATATATATATATATATATATATATATATATATATATATATATGTATGTATATATATATATATATATATATATATATACACTCTACTTTGGTTATTTCTTGTTTTTTTCAAGTGAATAATTAGTTTTAAAATCTTCAACATCTTAAAATATAGCACGTTTACGTGTTTTCATTAAAAGTGTTATATTTATCGATAACGGATTCGACAACCTCCAACAAATTAAACTGATGTTGTTTTGCATCGAGATTAGTTACAAAAATGACACGAATAATAAAACGAAGATCATCGTGTTGGCAGATTATCTCGAGACAAAATGCACGTTAATACTTGATCTGAGGCATTTTGTGGACACCCCATGGACATGAAGAGAACAGACAAAATAGAACAGAGATAAAACAGAATAGGATAAACAGAGCGAGGATAAAACAGAACAATGATTAAAAAGAACATTTATCTTTAAATTTATTTATTCTTCAGCCCTTTAATTTATTTATTTGTAACGGTAGCTCTTTTATCCTGTCCTGTTTCATCCTGTCCTGTGTTATTCAAAACTTATTTTATCAAAGGACTGATAGATTGTGACATTAAAGGTTAAATTTCAGTTGTTTTAAGTCAAGTTTTTTTTACGATTTGTTATGAACCCAAGTTTAAAATACCGAGCGCTAGCGCCGAAAGTCTTTCATTTAAGGTGCCTATGAACGTATGTCGTGTGGGTGAGCAGGTCCTGGGCCAAAGAAGTTTAATTGCCACGAAGTAAAGAACGATTTGTAAACAGCTCTGCTTTTGTCTGAACTGCACGATAAAAGACAACAAAATATTTTTAGTTTATAAGGAGCCGAACTGAAAATTAATAGCTTTTGCTTTTTCTGTCAAAAACATCTAGAATGGAGAAACACTTAAGTAAATGTATTCTCACCGCCAGCTATCAAAACTAACAAAATTAAAATAAAATAGAAAAATGTAGGATAGGAATCAAATGCGGCTTACTTTTCTGGTTCACAAGTTTTTTGTGAGCAACTAATTTTAAAAAGTAAGTACGTAATAACGTCTTGATCCGTCAATGAAGATATATTATATCAGTTATTAATTATTAATTAGGATGATGTTGCTCGTGCCACAAGCAATAACATGGTTTCGTTCATCAATATACATATGTTCACTGTACAGTGGTACTAATCAAAGTGATAAAGAATATGTTGTAGTCATCAAAAATTCTGTCGGCGGTTGGTGAGCCAAGCCAGGGAATGGTCTGTTGTCCTTATTAATGTCATTATTTCCTAATCTTCTGCTCCGCAATTCTTATAACTTGTTATCTTAATTAAAATGGTTTTTTTATTGTCATTATCAACATTATTTCACCAACAAATTTGCTGTTGGTAGTATTGTTATCAACGTCTCATATGGCTTTTTTATTGAATAAAAATAATCAACACTGAACAACCGCACTGAAAACATGACGGAACAACAACACTGAACACCAACTGTGAACAACAGCAACTCTGAGCAACAACAACAACAACAATGAGCAACAACAATGAGCAACAGCACTGAACATCAACAACTCTGAAAGCACCAACACTGCACAAAAACAACACTGAAAAACAACAACACTAACAGAAACAACACTCAACAACAACACTCAACAACAACAAAATTAACAACAACACTAAACAACAACAACATTGTACAACAACACTGAGCAGTAATAATACTGAACAACAACAACAAAAATGAAAAATAATAATGAACTTCAACAACACTGTACAACAACACTGAGCAATATCAACACTGAACAATCAGTATTGAGTCAGAGATTACAAATGCAACCTACACAAAATCGAAACATTAAAAATTAGTTAGCTGTTCAACGTGTACAACTAACGAACTTCTAAGCAGTCATTGATTGACTATCCAAGCAATGTGTTGAGAGAAATTTGATTGAAGTGGTGCGCGTGATGTTGCGATGAAGTGATGGTGTGTGTTGCTGTCGGTTCGTCATGCGTCCATCTGTCTTGCTTTGTGCCATTGGCTTGTCTCTTCTTGCGCGAAATTTCGTTACTTGATCGATTTATTTTTGGTTCCCTAGCACTTTCAAAGTGACATGCTACATCATTTTTTCGGTTTAGTTCAGATGGTCTGTCACAAGGTAGAAAAACTATAAAACCAACTTATAAGAAAAGGCGATAAATAATCTAATGAACATTAAATAATCAAATAGATAAACAATAAGTAATATAAAATATTAAAATAAACAATAAAATTAATAAATAATGAAACCAGGGAAACGGAAGAGATGGTTTTGGGCAGCAAATTCAGGAAACATGTTTAAAATTTCATCGTAAGTTATTATAAAAAGTTGTAATTAACTTTTTTTAGAAACCTTTTTAATGAATCTAGCATCTTATGAAGGATGCATTAAAACGAGACCAGATGCTGAAATTCTTTACTCTTTTGTACTACAGATTCACGGCAGCACCATTTTGAAAGTCAAGGACGTGCAACGGTACGTTGCTTAAAACAATTGTTTAAGAAATGTTTAATTTCATTACTCAGCGGTCGGTAGATTGAGGAATGACGTAAAATAGGTAACAAACATAAAATCGGAAAGAAAGAAAAGAAACTGGAGCAATGCATTCCAGTCAAGACCCATTCGAAACATCCTTCGTAAAAACATGCCACTGCCTGCTACCATCAGTCACCAAGTGCTTACAAATATTTTTTTGAGATTAAAATTAAACAAATAATAAAACAAATTTTGAGTGAAAATCAAAGAGGAAACAAGGCAAACAACAACTAAAACAACAATAATAATTCATTGGTCAAATTTAAAATCAATTAAAATGATGATGTTATTAAAAAAAATTTACTAAAATAATGTAAAAACAAAAGGAATAGATTATTTGTCTATTGTGAAATGAAATTCAAAACGGTAAAATATATTTAAATGTATATTTTATTTTTTTCTGTCACACTAATTGCCGTATGATAACCTTAACCGGTGTTTATCAATTCATCATTAAAAGAAATCGGCATAGAAACTTTAAACAAGGATAGATTAAAATTATTATAAAAACAAATAAAAATTAAAAGTGTTTACAATTATTGAACAGTTTTTATTATTGCTCTTTAAACAACGACACAAATTGCCAAAATATCTATTCCTCTTGCATTTCCTGGAGTATTCTAGATTGCCTCGAGTATTCTAGGTTGCCTGGAGGATTCTAGGTAGCCTGGAAGATTATAGGTTGCCTGGAGGATTCTAGGTTGTCCGGAGGATTCTAGGTTGCTCGAAGAATTCTAGATTGCTTGGAGGATTCTAGGTTGCCTGGAGGATTCTAGGTTGACTGGAAGATTTTAGTTTGCCTTGTGGATTTTAGGTTGCTTTGTGGATTCCAGATTGTCTGGAGGATTCTAGGTTGCTTAGAAGATTCTAGGTTGCCTGGAGGATTCTAGAATGCTTGAAAAATTCAAGGCTGCCTGGAGGATTTTAGAATGCTTGAAGGATTCAAGGCTGCCTGGAGGATTCTAGGTTGCCTGAAGAATTTTAGTTATTTGGAAGATTTTAGGTTGTCTTGAAAATTCTAAGTTACCTAGAAGATTCTAGTTTGTTTGGAAAATTCTAGGTTGCTTGGAGGATTCTAGGTTGCCTGGAGGATTCTAGGCTGTCCAGAGAATTCTAGGTTGCCTGGAGGATTCTAGATTGCCTGGAAGATTTTAGGTTGCCTGAAGGAATCTAGGTTGCCTTGAAGATTCTAGGTTGTCCGGAGGATTCTATGTTGCCCGGAGAATTCTAAATTGCCTGGAGGATTCTAGGTTGCCTGGAGGATTTCAGGTTGCCTTGGAGATTTTAGGTTAGGATTCAAGGTTGTCCGGAGAGTTGCCTGAAAGATTCTAGATTGCCTGGAAAATTGCAGGTTGCCTGGAATATTTTAGGTTGCCTGGAAGATTTTAGGTTTTTTAGAGGATTCTGGGTTGCATGGAGGATTCTAGGCTGACTGGAGGATTTTAGAATGCTTAGACAATTCAAGGTTGCATGAAGAATTCAAGGTTGCCTGAAAGATTCTAGTTGTTTGAAAAATTTTAGGTTGCCTGGAAGATTCTAGGTTGCCTTGAAGATTTTAGGTTGTCCGGAGGATTCTATGTTGCCCGGAGAATTCTAAATTGCCTGGAGGATTCTAGGTTGCCTGGAGGATTCTAGATTGCCTGGAAGATTTTAGGTTGCCTGAAGGAATCTAGGTTGCCTTGAAGATTCTAGGTTGTCCGGAGGATTCTATGTTGCCCGGAGAATTCTAAATTGCCTGGAGGATTCTAGGTTGCCTGGAGGATTTCAGGTTGCCTTGGAGATTTTAGGTTAGGATTCAAGGTTGTCCGGAGAGTTGCCTGAAAGATTCTAGATTGCCTGGAAAATTGCAGGTTGCCTGGAATATTTTAGGTTGCCTGGAAGATTTTAGGTTTTTTAGAGGATTCTGGGTTGCATGGAGGATTCTAGGCTGACTGGAGGATTTTAGAATGCTTAGACAATTCAAGGTTGCATGAAGAATTCAAGGTTGCCTGAAAGATTCTAGTTGTTTGAAAAATTTTAGGTTGCCTGGAAGATTCTAGGTTGCCTTGAAGATTTTAGGTTGTTTGGGGGATTCTATGTTGCTTGGAAGATTTTAGGTTGTCTAAAAGATTCTAGGTTGCCTGGAAGATTCTAGGTTGCCTGGAGGATTCTAAGTTGCCAGGAGGATTCTAGGTTGCCTGGAGCATTCTAGGTTGCCTGAAAGATTCTAAGTTCCCTGGAGGATTTTAGGTTCCCTGAAAGATTCTAGGTTGCCGGGAGGATTCTAGGCTGCTTGTGGGATTCTAGATTGCTTGGAGGATTCTATGTTGCTTAGAAGATTCTAGGTTGCCTGGAGGATTTTAGGTTGCCGGGAAGATTCTAGGTTGCTTAGACGATTCTTGGTTGGTTTGTTTTGTGGCAAACAGTCAAATCCAGACCTATGATGGATGGCAATGTTTTGTCGTAAGGTGTTGATACTGGGTGAATATCATCTCATTCTAAATCTGTAAAAATAGGCAACAATGGAATCTTTTTTATTATTATCAAAAGACAATGAAAAATATAAAAATCCTATAATATAATTAATCACAATAGTAATAATAATAATAACCATAAAAACTTTTTTTATTTGAAAAAAATCGACACAATAAACAGAAAAGGAAAAGAAAGTCAAATCGTTAATAAGAAAAGAGAAAATTGTTAATGATTTAATTTACGTCATTATGAAGACTCACAAAATGTTTATTTAGCATCTCCATGCAAAAGATTTATCATAAATTGTTCCTATTACAATAAATATCAAATGATTGAATTATAGCGCTCTTCATAAATTTATTGAATGTATCATCTGGCAAAAATAGCAGCTTAAGGCATTTAATCGGTTCTTTGAGATCGGAGACAAAGCCAAGCATGGATACTTCCCAGAAAAAGATTTTGACAATGAAATTTTCATATTTCTTGAGTAATTTGACATTTAAATTCTTGTATTTGTTAAGTTTGTATTGTTTGCTTTTTAAAAGATTATTCTCGTGGCCAACTGTGAGTTCTAGTATATACACGTTTCTATTTTTCATTATGCAAATCTACCATAAATCTAAAACGGATTTATGACGTTTCCTGTATCTATTTAATCTGTGATTCACGGTTTGAAAGAACGTGTTCGTTTTTATATGGTCTACCAAAGTTGCAGAGTTGGCACCATGGATCATTGATTCGCTTTGCAGCTGTATGAAGCTGTTGTAGAATGGTTTGTTTGGCGAATTGAAAGATAGATCAGGTTAATATTCCATCATCTGAGATCATTGAAAAATATTGGAATTTGATATACGGCCTAGAACAGTTTTCATCACTAAACTTTCAGTATTTAATTCGAAATAATAATAACACACAATATTTCTATAATTTTTATTAATGTTATTTATGATCTTGTTATATTTTTTATTCTTGTTATTGTAATTGTTGTGCCATTTTACAATAATTTAGCGCATTTAGATTGAAATTTAAGACAATATGTCGTGATATCAAGTTCCTTAGATGAAAGTTTTATTTGTCAGTCTTATGTTGTTGCCTGTTGTGGTTGTTTTGTTTGTTGGGTATTATTGTGATGCTGTTGTTCTGTGTGTTGTGGTGAGTTGTTTTTGTTTTATAATATGCGTTTCACGTTGGTATGATATTATTTTTTATTAAAAATTGTGGCGTGGGTGCCAATCGAACTAAACGTTAATTCCCTTTTCTTAACGTATCTTACAGCACTCCGATGTTTTTTTTATGGCCGAAAAGTCTTCCTATTCAAGGAAGCAGCCATGTTTACAGCCATGCAATAAATAAAAATCGTTTCATCATCGAGAATAAAGATTAAGCATAAATAACGGCGTGATAGAATGATGTGAACATTTGCGTGTTGTACAGCCAACCTCGCTGTTTAAAATGATCCTCCTCGCTAGCAACAACAACCAAATCCTCATACAACAAGAAAAATTTGAAAACAAATAAAAACATTTTTACCAAACACAAAACGCAGCTAAATTCGAGCAGAAATTTTATGAACGGAGAAGAAAAAAAACCAGGCAATGAAAGAAAACAGCCACATTTGTTTAACATCAACGGCAACAACAACAACGACAACATTAACAATAACAACAATAACAAAAACACAACTGAAATTACTTGAAATCAATGACATGAAGTCAATAGCAACTGCACAGAAACGAACAACAACATTTCATGAGCAACAACGCAACGGTAAGATAACAGGAAGTTGGAAAATAAAAAGCCACAGTATTCATAGTAGGAACAACAACAACAAAAGAAGTAGCAACAAATACATGGACTTCAATTTTTGATCCTACGCGACCGGGTCACATGGAGATCTTTTTATTTATCGTTTATGTGTTTATGAACACTTCTCGTTGTAACGCAGTCAAAATTTGTGTTGTATTTTTGTGTGTGCTTGTGTGGGCGTGTTGATGTGTGAGTATGTGTTTGTGAGTGTGGTTATACACATACATATATAAGTTTGTGTGTGCGTGCTTGTTTTTTGTAATGTTTGTGTGTCCATAATATGTTGAAATATATTCATGTTGAGAAAATCGAGATTCGAGTTTGGAGACACAGCACCATGTTTTTCTATTTTTTCCTTCATTATTCTTCTACTGAAGGGTTAATATAACTTCGCGCAAATAATTTTCAGTGCAAATCAACGCAACGTCAGGAATGCGCTAATATGTTAAAGAAACACGCTAATATTTTTACGTGAAAATGTTTGTAACGCATGTGTTATTGGAGTCGACTGGATGACAACAACTGTATATAATTTATATTTTGTAATTGTTTATGAATAAATATAACACACACACAACACACACATACTTCCACCCACACATTGCCCACACACAAACAAACACACACATGCATTTTGTCTAATTATGATTGAAACTGGCATATAATCAGTTGTTCATTGATATAATATTAATATAATATAACTAAAAACACAAATAAATAATTAGCAATTGCTCTAAGGCACAGTTCAAAATTGCACGATAAAAATTGTTCCAAATCATATAATTAAACGTCAAATTAAAAAACATAATGTATGAAACGTCTTTATAAGTGGGGCAATAACGTGTGTGTTGGTGTATACGAGGTGTGTGAGGATGTGTATGAGGGGTGCATTGACGAATGTGGGGCGTGATGTTGCTCATGAAATATATTCAGTCTCTGAGGTTTGACGATCACGTTCCACGTGTGCATGCCACTAACCAACCATTTTTTGTGCACTGCGTACAGCCATGAAATATTGCACAACTTTCAAACGTGTTCGTGTGTGTTTATACTTCTTAATGTTCTTTATTATATTCGTACACACACACACACACACACACACACATACACACAAATAATAAATGGTTATTTATTTTTGGTGTTGGCCACCAGGGTCGTGATGAACCTGTGGTGCAGTCCTGCCGTCGGATGTACATAGCGATAGATGTATGCAGTGAAATTCAAAGGATTGTACAAATAATTGAACTCATGTTTTAAGACCCGCTTACTGCTTGATATGCATAGAAAATGGAAAATTTTTTTAAACTGTGCAACATAATTTTATTAATAACAATAACAGTAAAATGTTATCTCAGTTTGGTAGAGCTAGTCGTGCTGGTCTCAACTTTTCTAAAGAACATATAATTTAGTACATATAACAAAACAAAGATTTTATTAATGTTTTATCACAAATATTAAATTAGTTAAAATTATTTAATAAAACTACTTTCACACAAAATTTTGCTAAATATTTTTTCTATTCTTTGAGAGCCTTGGTTCTGGCACTAAATTTATAAAACTTTGGAGCCTTGGTTCAACAAACTTACGCCACTGAACAACATCAATCAACCAAAGTGACTTGAGTCCATCAACTGCCCACAAAAAAAAGATGATTTTTCAATTTTTTATATTAGTGTTTATTTTTTATCAAAAAGACATCACAAATGATCTAATAATATCACTAATATATATTCCAGCAAGTGGTGTATGTGTGAATGTTTGTGGGAATGTTTGTTTGGATGCGTGCACAAAGAAAAAACTCAATAGTGCTGGAAACCAATAAAATGAATTGACGATCTCTTTACATTTGGCCTTGCGGGCCTAAAATAAATGCTTGGAGTGGATATCTGTTTGAAGATTCATCGATTGGTCGTTCGTTGTTGAAATTTGAGAAACACATCAACGGTAATAACGAATGCAATGCTGTGTGTGTGGGTGTGCTTGACTCTAGAAAAACCGTTTAAGCATATAGAAAAGATTTAAAAAGGAGTGATACTGACATCTATTTCGAAAAAACCAACAATTGCTTCCAAAGAATCTTTGTTGATATGTGTCGTGGATTTTCTAATGGGATAGAAATGTCATTTGCACCACCAACTTTCAAGTTGCATCACCCACAACAACAACGACTTTCAACCTGAAAGCCAAGAATTTTTTAATTTATAATTGAAGAGAAAAATTAAAAAAAAAAAACATTTTTCACATCAAAATGTCTTATCTTCCATAAAAATTTTTCCATGTTATATAGCAGCGAATAAAAAACATTAATTTTTTGATTCATTTTTAAGTTTTCTAAGAAAAATATTTCATTACATTCATCGATTCATATTTTGTTATGAATGGAAGTTTGTTCTTCCTTCTCTCTATTTATTTCTTTTTTCATTTTTTTCCATTTCAAGATTTTTAAAATTTTTACCCTTTTTTTGTTTTTCATTTCATTATGCAATTTATTCTTAAAATATTGTAACATCGTGGTTGATGAAATGAATTTGATTTTGAGTGCGTACGATGAACAACAGCACCAACAACAAGAACAAAATCAACAAAAACAAAAATTCCAACAACAACCACTACAACAACAATAACAACAACAACAAATAAAAACACCAACAACAACCACTATAACAAATACAACATTAACAAAAATAACAACTATAACAACAACAATAACAAAAACCTTACCACCAACAACAACAATAACAACAAACAAAAACACCAACAACAACCACTACAACAAATACAACATCAACAAAAATAACAACTATAACAACAACAAAAACACCACCACCAACAACAACAACAAAAACAACAACTACAACAACAAAAACATTAACCAACTTTCAGCATGCTTGTTTGCTATGTTTTTAGTTAAAGTTACAATTTACGATGCAACTGAAGATTTGGAAATATTTTTTGAATAATTGCATGAGTGCATAAGGAATTAAATTCTTTTTTGTTTATACAGCTGGAAAAATACATACATACATACATACATATATACATACATACATACATACATACATACATACATACATACATACATACATACATACATACATACATACGCACACATACATACATACATACATACATACATACATACATACATACATACATACATACATACACATACAAACATACATACATGCATATACATACACACACATACATACATGCATACATATTTATATTTTTACAATATTCTATAAATTCTACCGTTTGGACAGAAATCAACTGGCTAGGGCCGCTTTAGATTTTCAAGTCTCTAAGCCCTGCCAGAGTAACGATGTCGAGATTGAATTAAAAAAATTTAATGATTACTAAAAAGAGGAAAGAGGAGGCACAGACAATTTTCCCATCTCTAACAAGGAGCAAAGATGAGGAACACACAGACACAGAAACGGAAACGAGATGGCAACAGGTGAAGGCAAAGAAAAGTGGACAGAGTCGAAGCATGGAACAGAAGAGGAACCGTGCGCTGCAGAAAGGGAATGTGGAAAGACTAAAAACAAATGTTCTGATTGTCCGCCTTAAAGACAAGGAGAAATACTCAGACATTCTCTGCAGAGTGAAAAAAGAGGTTCTTGATGAGCAAGTGTGCTCCACAGTAGACAAGATCCGCAGGACTGCCACTGGCGACCTGTTGATAGTAATTAACAAATATGATGCGGAGGGAAGCAAAGGATTGCAGAAAACCATTTCTGAGATATTAAAAGATGAGGCAACGGTCGTGTGTAGAGGACCGCAGGAGGATCTCAAAATAATAGATCTAGATGATGTTACAACAAAAGAGGACATCCTAACAGCTTTTCAAAAAGCGGCAGTGACAACTCCAAAATTGCAATGAACAATATAAAATCGATTCGAGGCACACAGGTTGTTTTTATAACCTTGGCAGTCCATACTGCAAAAAAGATTATGGGCAAACATAGCAAAATCAAAATTGGATGGGTAAACTGCAGAATCGTGCCAGTAAAGAAGCCAAACAAATGTTTCAAATGCAGGCATTACGGTCATCTTGCAATACAATGCAAGAGTACAATAAACAGATCAAAACTTTGCATTAGATGCAAAAAAGGTGGTCATAAAATTGCAGAGTGCAAGAACGAGGCCCGATGTGTTTTATGCGCCGAAATAAACCATGCAAATAATTGTGCTCATGCAGCTGATACCGCAAAATGTAAAGTTTACAAAAACGCGGTGCTGCGTGTTAAATGAAAAAAACTTAAAAGTGAAGATTCTGCAGCTAAACATAAACCACTGCGAGGCGGCACATGATCTGCTTATGCAGACTGTGCGAGAGCTAAAAGTAGATCTGGCAATAATATCGGAACCCTATAAACATTTGAATACACAGCCGTGGGAAATGGATAGCATTGCAGGAGCAGTCATCTGGTCCTGTGCCAAACTTCCTTTTCAAAATGTTATAAATTCAGAGGCAGGTTTTGTAGCAACAAAAGTATAAGATATATATTTTTATAGCTTTTATGCTCCGCCCAGCTTTCCGTTTGATAAATTTGTGAACTTCCTTGATAGACTGACCCAGAGTGCAAAGCAGTACTTTCTTGTGGCCATAGCTGGAGATTTTAATGCCTGGGCTGTAGACTGGAGCAGTAAAAAAACAATGCAAGAGGGAATGCGCTTTTAGAAGCCATAGCAATATTAGATGTTGCCCTGTTGAATAACGGAGATAAACCCACATTTGTTAGAGGAGAAACGAACTCAATAGTGAACCTCACATTTGTAAGCTGCTGCCTAGTAAAAGGAAACTTTCCATGGAAAGTTATGGACATCTACACGGCAAGCGACCATAGTGCACTACTCTGCGAGATGACCACTGGCTTCAGCTCTAGATGTATACACGAACAAATGCTGTCGGATGGAAAGCAAAGACCTTTGACTCAAATACTTTTATGGTGGCCCTAAACCGTAAACCATTGGCAGCTCAAAGCGCTAAAAAGAATGCAGAGAAATTGACAAAAAGATTAGTAAAAGTTTGTGATGTGGGTATGCCCCGTAAACATTATGTGGACAAGGGATCATCAGGATCACTGGTAGAATGCAAACATAGATGCTCTTCGGAAAGAGTGTCTCAAAGCAAAAAGAGCATCACAACATGCATGGGAAAAGGCAAATTTTTTGGAATTGGAAGGAGTGTACAAGAAGACTCGCCTAGAACTCAACAAGGCCATTAAAGGTAGTAAAAGAAAATGCTGGTTGGAGCTCATCAACGAAGTAGAAAAGGATCCATCGGTTTTGCTACATTTAAAAGGACAACCAATGCCTTGCTCACATGCCCAAAACTATTAAAAAAAATTGTTCATAGCCTGTTTCCTAAACAAAATGGGAACTATGACTGCATAAAACAATACGAGGCTATTGATGTTCCACCGGTCACAAAAATTTAATTGATGGAAGCCTGTTACAGAATTAAAAATAATAAAGCCCCGGACTTAGATGGAATTTCTAACAATGCCTTGAAAACAGCTATAAAAGAGGCACCGGAATTATTTTTGGATGTCTATAATGCATGTATTAAAGAGGGAGTATTTTCATGTAGATGGAAGCAGCAGAGGTTGGTTCTCATCCCGAAAGGAAAAAAGCCACCGGGAGACCCGTCATCTAATCGCCCATTATGTATGCTAGACACAGCTGGGAAAATACTGGAAAGAATTATCAACCAAATGATTGAACAAAAAGTGGATCCTCAATTGACTGACAACCAGTTTGGTTTCCGGAAAGGCCGTTCAACGTTAGATGCTATTGGTGCTGTAGTTTAAAAAGCTAGAGATGCCATTGCGAAAACAAGAAAGAGAGACGAAGTACTGTCTGGTGGCCTCGTTGGACATTAAAAATGCTTTTAACTCTGCTAACTGGGACGCATTTTGCATGCTCTTGAAGAGTTGGATGTACCATCATTCCTAAAACGAATGGTAGCAAGCTATTTTACAGAAAGAATACTGAGGTACGACACAAAAACAGGACCACAACAATACAATGTCGCGGGGGGTGTAACCCAGGGAACAGTACTAGGGCCTTTCCTGTGGAATGTTATGTATAACGTCGTTGAAATTGAAACTGCCATTCGAGGCCAGCTTGGTGGCATATGCCGATGATGTGGCCATGGTTGTCGCTGTGAAACATCTTGAGAAAATAAAGTATATTTTTAACACCTTTTTTGCAAAAATTAGTGAATGGATGGATTCAGTCCACCTGAAACTAGCAAAACACAAGACGGAGGCAGTACTTATCACAGGAAAAAGGCCAGCAGAAACCGTTACGCTGTCACTTGGAGAACAGGAAATAACGACACAGCCTTACATACGGTACTTGGGGGTGATGATTGATAGTCGACTTAATTTAAACAGCAAGTTGAACATGTTTGCACTAAAGCAACTAAAGTGAGGGTAGCCTTGTCACGCTTAATGCCTAATGTGAGATGTCCCAAACAAAACAGGAGGGTGTTAGTGTCTTCTGTTGTCACGTTGATACTAACATATGGGATTCCAGTCTGGATCGATGAACTCAAGCATGGTTGCTTCCGGGCATACCTTTATCGTTTTGGGCATGATGTTTTTCCAGAATGCCCATCCTGTCCAGGAAAAAATGAAGATGCGGAACACGTATTCTTTGAGTGCCCTCGCTTCCACAGGCCTAGAGAAACTTTGGAAACTGTTCTTCAACAGAGAATACAGCCAGAGAGTATTACTAAAACTATGCTTTCATCAAAAACTGCATGGGATGCAACTGATGCGTTTGCATCCTATATCCTCCACAAGTTGGGCACAGAAAGGCAAAGAATAAACAATAATTAAAGATAGAAGGCTGATGGTAGTTATTCAAATGTTGCAGCTTTCTCTAAAACAGATGAACTAGCGAACTGCTATGATCCTCCCTGCGCGTAGTAAAGGATAACGGTGGGCCAGCGAGGGAAATAGAGGCCAGATGATGAGGAGGTTTTTAGTCGGTATGGGTTCTACTCGAGTCCGACATATCCAAAGAATTACATCCTGGAATACATAAAGTAGTATTTTCCTCTTCCAAAAAAAAAAACATACATACACACATACATAAATACAGGGTACCGTCCTTTCTTGGTTGAAATCTTACTTGTGTGATCGTACTCAGCAATTTTTGTTTAGTGGTGGAGTATCTGATGTTGTGATGTTGAAAGATTATCGTTTGGTGTTCCTCGGAGATCTGTGTTGGGTCCGTTGCTGTTCTTGTTGTATGTGTCTGATCTTTTCGAAGTTGTTAATAGGCATGGTTTAAAAATGTCAGGCTTTTGCTGATGATGTCCAAATATTATCTAGTTGTTCTCATCCTGGTTTTGCTGAGTTGTTGGATAACCTTGTCTTTGCTTGTCAGATGTTAGTAAATGGATGCTATCTAATCGCTTGAAATTAATAATAGTAACACACAAATTTTGCCCATTGGCACATGGCAGCAGTTGTCTAGAATTGATATTAAGGGTTTATTTTTTGAAGGGAAGTGTTTGAAACAATAATAACAACAACAGATCATCAATAATATCGATATTACACCTATTACAACAACCAACAAAAACAACCGCCACTACTACACTACTACTCTTACTACTACAACTGCTACTACTACTACTATTACTACTACTCTTACTACTACTACTGTTTTTACTAATATTACTACTCTGCCGTTGTTACATAATATTTTTCCTACATTTGTATACGACGGCCATTTCAAATGTTAATAAATATAAAAATTTATATACAAATTATATATGTATATATAAATAAATATTTAGATATTGTAAAAATAATATTAATTATATGTAGTTAATTAAATAAATTTATTCGCGCTTCTCGGCTGAGCGTTGATATTTACCTTAACAACCATGATATAAACAATCTTGCCGTTAAAATTTTGAAAATCGCGTTTTATATTGTTTAATGTTATTAAATTTATTTTATTGGTTTTCTGTTTTAATTATATATATATATATATATATATATATATATATATTATCACAACTTTTGTAGCGCCAATTAAAATGTTAAATTTATCAAAAGCGCTCTCAAAATGCAAAAACAAAAACAATGTTAGGATGAAAACAAATAAATCTTTAACAGCCTTCTAAATGTCAACAAATTCAGACTAGGATCCCGTAAATGGCTTGGGAGATTGTTCCATATCCTAGGAGCCAAAACAGCAAAATTTCTAGATCCTATTCTTAACTGGCTTGTCTGTACTGCCTGGTAATTTGCCTCATCAGATCGCAAATTGACATAATGAGGTGCCCTTCGTGTTGTTTTGTCTATCAAATATCTAGGTGCACAATTATTGATGCATTTAAAAATTAATACACAAGTTTTGAACAGAACACGGTTTTTGATAGACAACCAATGTAGTTGCTTTAAAATTGGTGAAACATGGTCGTATTTAAAGACATCTTAAGAGTATTTTCGTCTAGCGATTTTTTTATCAATTTCAACCTACGTAGTTGGAAAGTGCAAACTCTCCTCAATGATTTTATGTGATGATCCAACGTTAACTTAGAATCAATGTTAACGCCCAAACTTGAAACATTTGTACAGAATTTCACTTTGACATTATCTATATCCAGTGATGAGATATTTATTTTTGAAAGCTGTTGCCAGGTTCCTACCGGCAGTAGTTTTGTTTTACTCTGATTAAGTTTTAGTCTGTTTTTAATCATCCATTTATTGACCTCTGCCAGACAACGTATTAAGTTGTTACCCATCTCATCAAACTCATCTGGCGGGCAACTAGCAATAATCTGTATATCATCAGCAAAGGCATGCCCCGTGAATCTACAGGACTTGATGACATCCAGGATCTCATGTGTGTACAACAGAAACAATATTGGTTCCAACACCGACCCCTGAGGAACTCCAAACTTTATGTTCTTAATTCTAGACCAGGTTTTATTGTAAAAAATCTGTTCGGTACGATTTGAAAAATATGATGTGAACCATGCGAGTACTGTCCCCTTTACACCAAAATCTTTACATAATCTCCGCAGTAGAATATCATGATCAACACAATCGAAGGCTGCACTCATATCTATGAAAGCAACCAGCGATATATATTGGTTATCCATCGCTGCGTACAAAGTTGAAAAAACATGTAACAGGGCTGTTTCTGTCGAATGATATTTTCTTTATCCTGACTGATTACTATGCAGCGAATTATTTTTAGACAAATGGTTTAACAGCTCGTTAGCGACAATTCTTTCCATTACCTTAGATATGAAGCGAAGATTTGATATTGGCCTATAATTGGTAATATCATTGACATCATGGTCTATTCCTTTATGAAGTGGTTAACCATTGCATGTTTACAGGATGCAGGAACGACGCCATTAGTCAAACACAAGTTGATTAGACTTGTTAAAAACCCAGAGAACAAACCAATGTGTTTTTTGATATATATATATATATATATATATATATATATATATATATATATATATATATATATATATATATATATATATATATATATGCAATCTTTATGGTGTTGCAGCAGTTGCTGATTATTACGCTTTAAATTCTAATTCATGTTACAACCTCTTCAATTGAAATCAATTTATCTATTAATATTAATATTTTTCATAGAAGTTAAAATTTTATTAAAATTTATATATTCGTTATTATTGTTATTAATACTAATATTACAATTATGAATTACTAAATTATTAATTATTTATGTTTTTATACATTTTGTATTACTGTAATATACTAGTTTTGTATTACATTGCAATGGTGACGATGATGATGATGGTGATGATGATTACTGTAGCAAAAGGTGTTTATATCAGTGTTGACGCAAGTAGTCATCAAATGTACACTCAAGTACATGCACTGAGTTCCCGTTACAAATGAAATAATAAGAGTGCTTAGTACTTTTAAGCGTACATAAGTACTTGTTGCAGTGAAATTTAAAAAAATTTCGTTAAGTGCATGATGATGCAGCCGCTGATTTGTCCACTTCAGATAACAATTAACATTATTTATTTATTTATCAACTATGACTGTCATAAATTAATTAATTAATACCGTTAATAAATGCAAATAATGGTAATTATAAATAAATAGGTAATTTATTTCTATCAATGAGTTGCAATTATAAGCGACTGCAGAGTCTGAAATGGAATCAGGGAGAATTAAAAATGAAACAAACATACATCTTAACAAACGCATGTTGAAAACACATGTGATTATACATGCGCCACACGCGCTAACGTATTTTGTCAAACAAATTTCTCCATCATAGTGGTGTTGTTAATGTCTGGCATTTTAAAAGTAAATAAGATACAATTAAGAAAGTCACATCAGTCAGACGGTCCTAACGTACAACCGTAGTTCTTTATCATATGTACTAAATGCTCTTTGATTAATGTACACTTGCCTTGCATTACGCACCAGTTCACATAGAAACAAGTTAATGCACTAATACTCGTACGCACGTGCCCACATGCAAATGTACACACAAGCGTAGATAAATACATAAATATATAAACATTCAAACTTAGATGACAACAGGCTCATGACAACATGACCCATAAAAAATGTGTGTGTGTGAGTGTGTGTGTGTGAACATAAGTTTGGCAAGTGTGTTGTGTGAAGTTTATATGTGTTTGCTTGTGTGTGTGGAAGTGTTTGTTATGTATTGAGATGCATGCTCTGGTATGCAAGTAGCAGAAGTTCTTATTTATGAGCTCGAAATTGTTTTGTTTTGGTTCGTTCGTTCGTTCGTTCATTTGTTTGTTTGTTTGATCATCATTTTATATCTTTTTGTTTGCTTTCATTTTATGTAGAAAATGATTTTATAAATTTTGTACAAAATTAATTTGCTGCCTTTTGTAACATTTTAACTTCTTTCATTGCGTTTTGTAATTTTCTAATCGATATTTTTCATTCAAAACGTTCCAAACAGTAGCAAGTTATTGTTGTTTGTTTAGTTACATTCCCTACCTTCTTGCTCGGTCCTGCTCCAACGTGTTCTGCTGCATGCAAATCTCTGGGAGGTGTTGGTGGAGGGAGGTGATGGTGTTGTTGGTGATGATGATGATGACGTGGATGATGTTGCTAGTGATGATGATGACAATGTTGACGATGACGATGATGACCATTTTATTTTTGAATGTTTTTGATGTTGGGAAATTTGTTCACGTTTCGACGGATGTGACTGGTGATGATGATAATCTTCATCAATTATGATAACAATGATGAAGGTGTGAATGTTTTGTCGTTGTCAACAATAATAATGACGTCACGACGAAAGTGATGACGTCACGATGACGACGAAGGTGAAGTTGCTCCACCGACCTTGACACCGTTGACGGCGATCACGTTATTGCCATCTCTCCATTATTTACGATGATAATAATAGTGGCAATCACGCAACGATGTGCTGATGATGATATCAAAAATATGATGTTGATGATGATGATGATGATGTTGATGATGATGATGTTGATGATGATGATGTTGATGATGATGATGTTGATGATGATAATGATATTGATGATGATTATGATGATGATGATGTTAATGATGATGATGTTGATAATGACGATGATGATGATGTCAATAATTTTGTAGATTTGATAAAAATTGTGTTTAATTTATTAATAACAGTAATAACATATTTATTTGGTCAATCATTAGGTTATTCAATCACTCATTTGTTCATTCATCCATCCATTCATTCATTCATTCATTCATTCATTCGTTCGTTCGTTTGTTTGTTCGTTCGTTCGTTCATTCATTCAATTCACTCCTAAACAATTTTTGAAAAAT